GGTTCCACCTGGACCGACAGTTCCATTTCTGGGGTTCCACCTGGACCAGGCCAGCTGCAGATTTAACATCACTCATGGGTTTGCTGGATACTTGCTTCTGGCCGGTTGTGATAGAGAGCTCCTAGTTTTCTTTAGAAAAACGGGCAACACAAAACCAAAGGTGCAGTTTTTGCTGAGCTGAGACTTGAGTGGTCTTGCTACGACGACCCCGCCCACATGGAGGCGGCGCTCTCATGAACTGCGCCGCTCGGAGCGGCTGCGTGTTGCAGCAGCTCTGCTACTTTCATTCTGAGATTTTGCTTTTGGAAACTTTAATTCCTCTTTTTCTGGATGTAAATCACATTTTTTTTGGATGATTGTTTCCTCTGGTATCAGATGCTGAGCAGCTGGAAGGATTTTTACTGAAACGTTTTTAGTTTTGGACATCTGTTATGATGCGTAACCATGGCAACAAGGGGCTTTTTTTTGTTTTTACAACCAGCTGATTAACATCTCAAATACCTCAACTACAGCCCTAAACCTCAAATGAGTTGAAAAGGAGGCGCTGTGGATGCATTCCCATCTCCCTACCGGCTGTGCTCGAGTGCCTGACCACTGAGATCCTGGAAAGGGCAGGAAACGTGGCTCGTGACAGCAGAAGGTCCGGGATTGTCCGCCATCGCCTGCAGCTGGTTGTCCGCAGCGACAAGGAGCTCGGCAGGCTGCTGGGGGGAGTGGCTATCATTCTGGGAGGAGTTCAGCCCAGCATTCAGGTGCTCCTACAGCCCGGGGAAACAGAGGACCGCCGAGTCTGGGTGGACGGAGCAGCAGCCAGTTTCTTCAGATCTGCTGTGACTTTTTAAAGAGAGCCTTCCTGCCCACAGCCATCAGCATCTATAACATCTCTTAATGAAACGAGGATAACAACATTTAATTTCCCTTTGGGATTAATAAAGTATTTTTGAACTGAAAGCAAACTAAAGCAGAGCCGGAGGCGGCCGGGGCTGAGCCGACTGAGGCCGGTCCAGGCTTCACAGCGCATACGAGGCTACTGATCTCTGCAAGATGAGCTCAGATCTCCGAGGACAAGATGAGAGATCAGACTGTGGTGGAGAAGGACGGGGCTAAGATGCTGTAGGACTTCCAGCTCCAGACAGATAAACAGGTGATGGTCCAACAAGCGGACATGGTGGTGGTCGAGGAGCTTCAGAAGAAGGCAGTGGTGACAGATGCAGAGATTTAGCTCTAACGTTTAGTTATTATTAGTAGCTCAGACAAACACGTTTTGATCAGTTAGTCGATTAACAATAAATGAAAAAGTCATAAATAATGTGAATTTATTTTAAAATCAGTGTCTTGCGTGAAGACCGTCTAATAAAACCAAATACGATCCAGGACAGCCAGTGTCCCCATTAAAGGATGCAGGAGGTTAAAGGAAGGATCCTGTCCCTTTTTGATTCAAACTAAAAAAAACACAACTTTAGTTTTAAAAAGCTTCCAGAGAATCAGAATATAGATTATTGATAACGATGCCAACCTGAACAGTGGTGGGTTTTCAGGTTTGGGTTTGTTCCAGCTGAAATTGAATGGGACTGGAAGGAAGAGCTCAGCGATGCCACCCTGTTCTCGTTTTTCCTCTCCACAAGAATCCAGGTAGGATTTAGGGCCAGGGTCACCAGCCAAGAGGCCAAGATGACTTCCCGATGTTCTTCTGGTTTTAGAAGGGACGTCAAGCTCCTGGTAACCAGAAATGTAGGCTCCAGAGGTACTGGCAGGGCTCCCCACCCTGTTGTCATCCGTCACACTACCCCGGGGAGACACGCCTGGAGTGGGGCTGGCTGAGTGGAGAGGAGAAGGTGAGCGAGCACGAAGGTCAGCGCCGGAGTGGCTTCTCTTTCCACAGGGGGAGGTTGGTCTGGAGGAAGGTCTGACGAAAGAAAGAGCTGGATTAATTGAATTAGTTAAATAAACGCATGTTTCTGGAGACTGAACAAGACTGTGTTTCAAACAGGAAGTCCAGCAGTGGAACCAGCAGAAAATAAAATGTGGTAAAGGATGTTTTCTAACGAACGAACGAATGGAACAATTTCTATGTTCATGCTCAACCAGTTTCCTGAAAACAAACCAGTTGTGTTGCTGGAGCTGCCCCTTTTATTTCACCATGGACAAACCATCACCCGGCTGCTGCTGGACCACTGAACGCTCGTGAAGCTTTCACACTACTGACATCCATTTTTCAGCATCTTTCTCCTCCCGCAGTTTTCAGCTGTTTCAACAAATCACAAATCAAAACGTTCGGCTCTTTCAGGACAACCCTGTTATGACTCTTGGTATTGGTGCAACTTTAGCTTTTTTTTTTAAATTTAGCCTTTTCTGCAATTTCGTTCCTCACAGAAAATGAATTGAGCTCATTTTCCATCCTTCAAATCTTTAGACGTTTACCACCTTTTACTGCTCCTTTCACAGTTTGTTCTGCTTCAGCTTCTTTCAGCTTCCTGCTGCAAATTTAAACTATTTTCAGCTACTTTCAGCTGTTTTGTGCTCCCTTCAGCTTCTTTGTTAACTACAACATTTTGAGCTTCTTCTAACTTCTTTCTGATCATTTCAGCTTGTTATGCTCCTTTCAGCTTATTTCTGCAAGTTTTGGCTTTTTCTACTATTTAGCTGTTTTTATGGTATTTTATCTTTTTCAGCTAATTCCACATTTTTTGCAACAATTTGAACTTTTTTCAGCCTAATTCAGAAAAAATGTGCTCTCTCGATTTTTTTCAGGTAATTCAAGCTTCTTTTTGCTTTTTTAGCTATTTTTTAGCTGTTTTGTGCCCATTTCAGCTTTTTTCAGAAAATTTCCACTTTTGGTGCTTATGTCTGCTTCTTTCAAGCTAATTGAGCAAATGTGCGTTTTTCTGCTTTCTTCTGCAAATTTAAGCTAGTTCTACCTTTTCAGCTACTTTTTAGCCTTTTTGAGCCATTTTTAGCTGTTTTCAGATAAATAAAAAAATTTTGTGGTAATTTCTGCTACTTTCAGCCTAATTAACTTCTTTATGCAAATTTTAGCTTGTTATGCTCCTTTCAGATTTTTCCTGCTATTTCAGCTACTATTTAGCCATTTTTGTTAATTTGAGCTTTTTCAGCTAATTCCACTTTTTTTCTCTCATTTCAGCTCTTTCTGCTTACTTCTTGTTGTTTAAGCTTCTTTCTTCCTTTTTAGCTAATTTTTCCAAACATTATTTAGCTAATTTAAGTTTTTTTTTTTTGTTAAATTCCTAATTTTTGTGCTCATTTAAACCTAATTAAGCAAATATGTGTTCTTTCTTTCTTCTGCTAATTTAGGCTTGTTCTTCCAGTTCAGCTACATTTCAGCTGTTTCTCAGCAAGCTCTTCTGCAATGAGCATCCACACTGCATTTTTGCATGAAATGTGATTTCTGTAGTTTTGTTTGTTTGTTGTTTGGGTGGAATGTGGAACTCCTGGATCACTTGTGCACCATCATAATGATTCTGGAGGAAACTTCAGATAACGAACACGTCTGACAAACTTTGAGTTCTGCTTTCTGCAATAACTTTGTTTTTGCATTCTGCTAAATAAGGAGAATGATTTGTTTGTCCCGCAACAGAGGAAACTTTAACATTAAAGAGATAAAATGCTCAGCGTGATTATATTCTCTTTAATAGTGAACAGACCAACTTCAAAGTCAACACTTCGGCGTCTCAAAAAGGATTTTATTCAAACATTTGGCATGACTTCAGTTCAAAACAGCCACTTGATGTTGGAAGACGACGAGGCAGAACACATGATGTCGTCGTTTGTGAGCTTAATAGACATAATAACCTTCAGTTTTATACACGAAAGTAAAGAAACAGGGAACGGTTGTTTAAACATTTCTAATGGGCGGTGCTTCATTATTTTGCGACACCCACAGACTTTGTGCATGTACGTACGTTAAGCTTTGGTCCAAGACTATTTGTGGGTGTTATGGTGCAGACTGTAGGGAATCTGTTGAAGCTATAATATAATACTATAATAATGTAACCCCGTGGTTTTTGTTCATGTCTGTTGAAATTATTAGAGAACTCATAAATAAGAACATGGAGTTTAATATATGTTCAGTTATTGTTTGAAAAAAAAAACCAATGTAACTGTAATATGTGGTTGCTTGGGATTTTATTTTGGTGGTCGGGGAAAGAGGGCTTCCGGTACGAGAGGGGACGTGACGGGAGTGACAGGGAAGATGGAGGACATCACTGTTGCTGTGAACTGTCACTGTTGCCGTGGACTATCGCGGTGGGGGAACACCCCACTGAACTGCTGTTCTTGCCAGTGAGGGGGTAGAAAAGGACTCCCATCGACCTGTGGAGGTTGAAGCTGCGTGGGTGACTAACCCAGTGGAGAACAATCCCGTTAGGTCGCTAGCTCTGTGGCTACCGCTAGCGGGCTTCGGCGAACGGTTGGTGGCTAGCCAGCCGTGAGAGACGCGTGGACCTCGGAGAACGGTTGGCGGATAGCCAGCTGTGTGTAACGCGAGGACCTCGGCGTGGATTCTTCAACCTTGGGGAGAACATTGGACAGAAGCAGACGGACTACGGCACGTACGACCTCCTGGAGAGGGACGTATTCAGGTGATGGGGGACATGGTTGTTGGGGACGTTAATGGGAAGAGCGGGAAGCGCGCGAGTGCACCAACATCAGGCCTGCAACGACCGAGACTAATTTTTAGCTGCCGGCTTTAAGTTTCCTTTCTGTTTAACGAGGTTAATCGTACCAGTTCTATTTCATTACTGACTGAAGAAACTGTGCTATTGTTCATTAAACTGTTTATTTGTTTAAAACGTATGCTTATTCTACTATGTTATACTTCATGGTATAAGTGGTATACATTTAGAATATTCAGGTAGAGATACCAACCGATTTAAAGAACTCGCGTTAGCCACCCCCATAACGCTAAGGACGCTTAGGGGGCGCTACACAAATATTAATATTACATTATAATATGTAATAATATACTTATTATCAAGGTCGAAGTTTGCCCTGCCTCCAAGACCATGCCCTTTGGCAAAAAGTCCCTTTAAAAATAATTAATTAATGTCAACTTCTGTAGTCTGACAAACGTTGAAGTCGGCCATAATTGAACCATGTGATTTTAGATTTTATGGTGGAAACTTAAGTTTTGAAGTCAAGCCACGCCCACATCATACGACCAAAACTCGAGCTTTTGATAACCTTTAATCCCCCGTTCGTAACGAAACACTGACCAAGTCTGAAGCCGACACTCCCGATGGAGAGGTTCTTTCAACTACAACATGAGTAAAACCATAAAATGGCTACTTTGATTAAACGGATGACTTAAAGTTGGGTTTAGGTCGTACCTCCAAGAGACTTTTTGTGTGCCTTAGTCGGATCTACATGTGTAACAATCGTCAGACCTCCAAGTGAGTGTAGGTCTTGGTGGTGCCATAATCGGTGGAGCTTTTGAGCCAATTAGCCACGCCTCTTTTTGAGACCCTCACCATTTTCACTTACTTATAGGGTGTTCCCAAAGTTTCGAGTTTTTTAATATGTTAAAGCCTCTCAAAAGGCTAATGAGAAGGAAAAGGAAGAGAAGCAGAGGAAGGAAAAGATAGTTCTCAGATCACAAAAAATAAATCAAGCCGACTCACCTGGAGGTGGGCCTGTGGTTGAGCAACGTATCCTCGGTGATACTGGTGCGAGGGGAGTGGCTTGGTGACTGCCGGGGCGACTGATGCGGTGACAACACTGGGCTGAAAGGTAAAGGATGCTGGTACTTCTGCTGCCACAGCTCCACCCCAAATGTGCCACCTCCACATCCTGGTGAGCCCAGATCAAGGAGGGCAGCGTCATGCAGCTCTTCGTCTACATTATCGTTAATATGGGAGAAAGACTCACAAGAGGAGAGGTCCGACACCCAGCTCCTGGACGACAAGCTGCTGCAGGGACTTGGGCTGAGCGTTGCCTCCCGATAACAGGCGTCCAGAGGAAGGTAGAGGTGATTTCTGTGCCACGGTGGTTCAACGTACCCCCCTTCTGCACCACCAGCTGCCAAAACCTCCAGGCTACTGCCCGCGTCCACGTGAATGTTGTGACTTATGGAGGTAATCTCAATGCTTGGGCAGTCAAAGGATCTGGGGTTCTCCTGGGGGCCACAGTAAACCCCCTGAGATTGACAGCCAGCATACTCGTAATCATCTGTGACATGTAAACATGGTGGGGGACTCTGCAGCTCCTGGTTCAAGAGCTGCTCCAGGAAATCCTGCGTGGATGGGTTCTTTATATCGAAATCTGAAACTGTAGGGTGACAGAAAAATACAAAATAAATACACAGTAACATGTAGCTAAAGCCCGACCAGTATATTGGTAAGGCCAATACAGGCATTTGAAGAAATATCGGTGATAATCGTCCCATCATGTGCCGAGATAAACACTTATAATTTTCACCCCTAAAATGCTGGGAACAAGCCGTGTCCTTACTTGCAAATGACGTCATTGTACAACGTATCCAGCAGGGGGCGCAACTAGACTACATTCAAGTCAAGCAATGCTGCACACTTGACACGGCACAGTCGAGAGAAGAGGGAGCAACTAAATACAGTGTAGAGTATTTTACTGAGCAGAGCACTGTGAACTTATTTTAACTGATCTGCAAAATAAATCAATAATAATAAATTCTCTTCAAATCTCCAACCTGCTTGTCATTAGCTACGTGCCTCTCAAGTTAGCAAGCTAACGTTTAAATAACCTAGCATAGGCTATTGCCTTGTAAAACTTTATCCAGAACAATAAATTTAACGTAGAGGTAAAATATAAATATATATATATATATATATTTATGTATGTACACACACACAAATCTACCACATAAATCATTATAAAATCTTTATAGTACAACGTATTTATTTATTTTAACCCTTACCAAATGAGCAAACAATGCTAGAGATATTTAATTTTTCTCTAATATTAAATAAACTACAAATACTTCATAATAAAGTTGTGAAGTCAAACAGCACAAAATTTAGAAATTAACATCTATACCTGAAGCCAGTGGGATTAGACAACAATCATTCAGAGACGGGATTAATGAGATTAACTACAAGCCCCGAGAAGATGTGCACTAATATTTACATAATAAAATACCCATACTCATCATCACATCATTTTTACACACCATCAAGTACACAAAGAAATAGAAAATACAACTTAACATATCATTTGTATTTGCAGTGAGAAATACACACATTTAGGTTTATTAGGTCAAGAGTTACATTTAGAGACTTTAATTTTTTCCTCATTTTCATTCAATTTTTATCAAAATGTTCTTTTGGTGTCTAAATAAAACGTTAACAAGGACCAGATTGGGCCTGCAGGCCGTGACTTTGACGTTAGTGCATTAGACTATAGGAGCTAAACACAACAACAAACTCTACATATAAATACAATATATAAAGAGGAGGAAGAGGAACAACATTTACATTTTAGAAACAGAACAAATCTACAAACAAACCGTTTAATATTCAGCAAAAGGTGCCGTCATCCTGCAACTGAATAACATTTTTACTGTACCTGTACTTGTCACGTTTACCCTTCTCTAGTCTTTTCCTCCATCCCTACAGAGAGCTTTGACTGGTTATTATTTGTGCATTTTGAGTTGGACCATCCTGCACTGGAGGAGGAGAAGGAGGAGGAGGAGGAGGAGGAGGAGGAGGAGGAGGAAGGGACGCCGGTACAGCAGGGCTGAGCTTGTTATTCTTATATATAGTAGTAGTATTTAATACGCTCTGCGACGCTGCCTGAATCACGGTGAACGACTGTCTCCAGCAGTTCACCCAGTTCGTTCTCACAGCTGCACGCACGTCTAGCTGGGACTATAAATACAACTCGGTCAGACACGCACGCCCACACGGTGTATGCAGAACAGGTGTGAAAGCAGCCGTTGTGACCCGCTTCAGTAGCTCCGCTCCTCCGTCACAAGTTACCCTGAGTAACAGGAACGAGTTGGGCGGGACGCAACAGGCAGGGTCGGCTCTGGGGACAGGCGATCGCCTCGGACGCCATCTGCCAGAGAGGGGCACCGCTGCTGCACATCATTAATAAAATCAATAAATCAATGAACGAATGATAAAAATGCGTTATGGTGGCGCAGTCGGTAAAGCTGCTGCCTCTCAGCGAGAAGGTTGCCAGATCAAATCCCAGCCGGGGGGACTTTCTAGGGTGGCGTTTCCTCCCACAGACCAAAAACATGCATGTTGGAAATGGGCACCAGTGGCACCAGTGACCCGAAAAGGAAGAAGCGGGTAAAGATGACAGATGTATTTGATAAACTTGGCTTTGTGGCACTTTGGCTTTCTTTGTGCTCCGTCTTGAAAATCAATAATTAAGAAGTACAGGAAACAACCCCACCCCCAATGCCACAGCTGCCCCCGCCCCCAATGCCACAGCTGCCCCCGCCCCTTCCCTCTTTTACTCGGTCGGCCTGGCCCTGAACGGTTCTGCACCCTGCACTCTGTGGAGGAGGGGTCAAGTTGCGGTTCGTATTAACAAACGTCAGTAACTAGCCTGTACTTTGTCGTAGTAATTACGTTAATTCAAGGTTCTTTATTCTCATCGCATGTGGTACATGAGGTGGGTTGAAACTGTGCACTCAATAAGAGTTCACCCCGATTTCCTTAATTTTGCGAGATCGGCGATATTTGCACGAGAAATCGATTTCAACGTTTTTTTGTAGTTTTAACAACAATTGTCTGAACTTCATTTATATTCCAGAGCACTACCTCACGGCCAGTTAAAACTAGCTTGTATTGTTTTAGGATATTGTTCAAAGGTACGTTTTCAATAAAATAAGATGGAAAATTGAAGGTGCATTGTGACCTTATAATTACAAAATCGGTATCGGCAGGTCAGGATCTTTAGAGATCGTGATCGGCCAGAAAACTGCAGTCGGTGCACCCCTAGCTCCCAAGGTCCAGTTACACACAGAAATAGCAAAAATACAAAGTATGAAAAGAAGCAGTACACAAGGATCTAAGATGTGCACGAACAGTAATAATATAATATGATGAGGCGTTTTAAACAGCGGCCTGAACATGAGTCTGTTGTGAGCAGATGGGTAAGAAATCAGCAGCTGATGAAAAGATGAACTAAAGATGAAAAGACCGTTAAAGCCGTGTGGTGCAGCGTAAAGAAGCTCCCAGTGTGAACGTATGCGTCGTCTTCTTCAACATTAAAAAACTTGACAGTTCTGGATGCTAACTTCAACAACTTAAAGCAGCCCGTGCTGTGCACAGTGTCACAAACTGGAGCGCTGTAACAATCCCGAACAACATTTTTGTGGCGCGTCTGCTGCATGCTTTGCTTTGTACAGACATTAACTGGTCCGTCTCCTGTTGGTCCTGGAGAGACGCACTGAAAACACATTTGCAGAAGCTCAAGGACCTTCACTCAGACCTTCAGCTCTCTGAAGAATGCAAGTGTAGCCAATTATTTGGCTTCTATCACTGATGTCATTATTTATTTATTACTGTTACAGTTTAACTTGGTTAATAACGGTACAGTTGTCTCGCTCTACTTCGCAGTTAGACTCCCACAGACTCGTTGTTTCACCGTTTTTAAACGATTGTCAACTTTAATATTCCTCACGTCATTGGGATGGTATGGGATTAAAAAGTTAACAAAAATAAAACTTGGGCCAGGCGCCGCCATGTTGTAGTTTTCTTTCAATGCACCTACACTGTAGCACCAGTCAAAAAGAACTACACTACCCAGAAGCCAACAGTGCTTCGGGCCGCTGCGTTCAGCTGAAACGGAGGGAAGGTTTTGCAACGTGAAGTCAGAAGTAACGATCGATGAAGTTCACAGAACTGGCAGGAACGTCTCAAATAATCTCATCCTTCCAGTTGCATCTTCACTGGTGACCTGGGCTGCAGTTCATCTGGACTCCGTGTGACCCGGATCCTGGGGGCTGCAGGGAACAAGACCCGTTCGGCCTGGTTCTGGTCGCGCGGTGCTGGTCCGGACCGGGCAGAGGTGGTGGACTAATCCTGGACAGCCTTGTGCACGGAGTGTCCCTCTTGAAGCGTCAGCACGTGCACATCAACCTGGACGGGGCGGTGGGCTTGTCATGCTGCAGGGTAGCTGAACGGAACCGAGCCCGACCAGAACTGAGCTTCTGCAGAGCTGAGGAGTACTCATGAAATTATGCAGTAGCTACTGGACTATAAATATCCATATGTTGTTAAAATGACGTGGGTTGAAGAGTTCAGAACATCGTAAGACGTGGGAAGGGTTTATATAAAATATATATAAATACTAAAACGGCAGCACGATGGCTCAGTGGTTAGCACTGTTGCCTCACAGCAAGAAGGTCCTGGGTTCAATCCCCGGTTGGACCTGGGGTCTTTCTGGATGGAGTTAGCATGTTCTCATGCTTGTGTGGGTTTTCTCCGGGTACTCCAGAGAAACAAGAAACATTTGGGCTGCCTGTGGCGTCGTCAGAACTCGGAGACCTTCTTGGCACCGTCTGCTCGTGTGAATGTTTAGAAATCGTTCTGAGATCCACTTTTTTTAGATATCCGACTTGTCCTGCAACTTTTCTGCTGTCTCAAAACGTTCGGCTCATTCTGGACATTCCTGCTGTGAATTTTGGTATTTGTGCAATTTTTACTTGTTGAAACATTTAGCTTTGTCGGCCATGTTTTTCTCATTGAAAATGAACGGAGCTCTCCACATTCTTTAAACTCTTTTTGCTGTTTACAACCTTCAGCTTTGGTACTGGTTCAGCTCCATTCAGCTAATTTAAACTTTTTATGCTCGTTTCAGCTTATTTCTGATAAGTCAGCCTTTTCAGCGAGATACTTTTCTGCAAATACTTGTCTTTCTTGTTTATTAATTTGCTCAGTTCTGATTTTTGTTCTCCTTTCTAATCATTTTAGGCTCCTTTCAGCCTCTTTCTGATCATTTCAACTTTTATTTTTAGCTACTTTTGTTGCTAATTTCAGCATTTTTCTGCTCATTTCAGAGTGTTTTTTGATCGTTTCAAATTTTTTTTTGTAATTTATTCAGAATCTCTGCCTATTTCAGCATGTTCTTCTCATTTCTGCTCTATTCAGCTTGTTCTAAACATTTCTGCCGTTTATTTTGCTGCTTTCAGCAAATGTCAGCTGTTCAACTCAACTCACAGTTCAGCGATGAAAACGTTCGGCTGGTTTCACCTTCAGCAGCTTTCTGCAAAAATCCATGCATCCATCCATCCACCCATCCATGCATCCATCCATCCATGCATCCATCCATCCATCCATCAATGCATCCATCCATTCATCCATCTATGCATCCATCCATCCATCCATGCATCCATCCACCCATCCATCAATCCATGCATTCATCCATCCACCCATGCATCCATCTATGCATCCATCCATTCATCCATCTATGCATCCATCCATCCATGCATTCATCCATCCATCCATGCATGCATTCATCCATCCATGCATCCATCCATCCATCCATGCATGCATCCATCCATCCATGCATTCATCCATCCATGCATCCATCCATTCATCCACCCATCCATGCATCCATCCATGCATCCATCCATCCATCCATCTATGCATCCATCCATCCATCCATGCATCCATCCATCCATGCATGCATTCATCCATCCATCCATGCATCCATCCATCCATCCATGCATCCATCCACCCATCCATCCATGCATTCATCCATCCATGCATCCATCCATTCATCCACCCATCCATGCATCCATCCATCCACCCATCCATCCATTCATCCACCCATCTATCCATTCATCCACCCATCCATCCATGCATTCATCCATCCATCCATCCATGCATCCATCCATCCATCCATGCATCCATCCATCCATCCATGCATCCATCCATCCATCCACCCATCCATGCATCCATCCATCAATCCATGCATTCATCCATCCATTCATCCACCCATCCATGCATCATCCATGCATCCATCCATCCATCCATCCATCCATCCATCCACCCATCCATCCATCAATGCATCCATCCATCCATCCATCCATCCATCCATTCATCCACCCATCTATCCATCCATGCATTCATCCATCTATCCATGCATCCATCCATCCGGGTCATTGGTATACAAATCTAGAAGCAGTGTTTCCCTACCATTATACAAGCAGGGAACACCACCCTGCTTACCAAACCAACCCCCCCCCCCACCTCCACCCCTCACCGGCAACTGCCAGCACCGATGTAGCGCTAAGCTAGCTTTTCCCTCATGCCCTCCCCCAAAATAATTCAGCAACGAGCATTCGCACTGCATTTTCACAGGAAATGACATTTCTCTAGTTTAGTTTTATTCAGGTTCAGTTTAGGATGTCGGGTTAATTTTCTTCTTCACATCACCATAGCAACTGGTGCAGGTTTAACGTGTGTCCTATCGTGACCTTTAACCTGCTGATTGAGGCCCGTCGAGCCTAAAGGCTGATGAGAAGGCCCATTCTCGAGTCTCGCTGACGTGGACACGTTACGAAAATTGTGCAGTTTTCTTTTCTTAACGCCTGTTGACACGTCGTCTTGTGCGTCGCCACCAGTCAGAACCACCTGGTAGCTCTCACAGAACTATGCTGCGAGTGTTGTGTGATTGGTCAGAACTTCATGGGCGTGTTTGTTTACGTAAAGCGTCTGCAGTCAGCTGATCTCAGAGCAGCGTCTGCTGAGGAGCAACTGGCCAGGGCTGTGTGAAAATGCAGCCAACGTTAGAACTGCTCCAGTAAAAACTATAAAGATAGTCAAATAAAACTCCCGATAGTAAAAGAGCTTGTGGAAGGAGAAAGAACAATTCTGTGCAGGCAGGAGACAGCGTGGAGAACCGGTGGAGAACCGGTGGGACTCCATGAGCGGGAGGGAAGGGCACATTCCTGCATCGTCTCTTGGAAACGGCGGCGGCCTCTTTGTGACAAATTTATAAAATAGCACTTCTCTTTTAACAACAGAAATACCTGATCCTCCTCCTCTGACAACACCTGAAAATAAAAATCCACGCCGACAACAGCGCCGTCTGTGATGAATCCGATGGCACGTGACGTGCGCTGCAGAGGGAGGACTTATCAGGATTTATAATATCACATTCCTTCTTCGCAATTCTCGTTTGAGTATGAAAAGTTTGCAAGAAAACGACAGTCTGCAATAACGTCAGTGAGTGTTGCACAGTCTGACCTTCAGGGTGCAGTTACTCCTGGGAAGATTGGCACATATCTTATTAAATACTGAACATTTTTCTCCATATCTTTGACCATTTGCAGACTGATGGGCAGCAACAGTTGCTTCTCTAAGGTCATTGCTGATGTCTCTCCGCCTTGGCGTTGTGCACAAACACCTGCTTTTATAGAGGTGGTCCCATAGATGTTGATCAGCTAATCATTATATTTGATTAGCGGTCCCGGCTGGTACTGAACCTCTGAATTCTTGGGGAAGCCATGAGGATGGAGCGATGATTTCACACAATGTTGGTGTTATTTTATTCTTTTCAGGTTTTGTTGAGTAAATAACGGCATGACGTAAGATATGTGGCGTCGTTGCCTACATTTAGGACCTACCACAGATAAGATATATTAATAGTAAATTATCCAACAGCCAACTTTTAAGTCCATTCTTGGTCAAAAACTCACGGCAACTACACAAAGAGTGAAATCCTGCCAAAATAAAAGCTCAAACTGCTAAGCTACAGGAGTTTATTTCACCTCTCATTTTAATTTAATTTAATTTAACACCATCACTTGTACATAAAATAAAACAGTGCATCTTATAAAAACTGCTCCAAGAGTAAATGTTAAGCAATGACGACACAAAACCATAACCGCTATTAATTGTTAAAAACGTTTAAGTACTATTTTCTAAAATTGCGAATATTTGTGTGTTGTATTTAAAGATCAACGTGTAAAACAATTAATAATAATGTGGAAAGTCGACACATTTTCACGTCTTAATTTTGAAGCGCAAACAGACCAACTTCCGGTTTGGTCTCGTAGCTTTTGGTCGCTAACTCCATAGATATCGCTAACTCGTTGAAATGACGCGTAACTGTTTTTACCGCGCTCCTCTCGGCTCAATGCAACATTCAGACCCTCCGCGCACTTTTTCTACACGAAAGCATCTTGAAACATAATAAATAAAGCTTGAAACATAATAAATAAAGCGCTGAAAGGAACCGAACTAACCTGTGTCACTCACTTCCATCAGACTGAAAGCAGAACTCCGTCGAACCGAGGCGTCAGCAGCAACTCGGCGACAGAAACGAACAACCAAGAGTTGTTTCCCGACACCTCGGCGGCAGATAAATACTTGTGTGTCCGCGGAAATTCAAAATGAAGTCCACTTTTCATCAAACTTTCCGCCGCGTCCGTGAAGTGACTTCTTCAACTCCGCCGCTGTTTCATCCTGCTGCTGCGTTCAGGGAAACTCGGAAACTACAGCACTACAATCAAGGCTCGGATTAAAGTGAAACTACAGTTAGTGTTAAACTAAACTATTTGTTTATTAGTTAGAATTCAACAGTTATTAGCAAAACATTAGTGTTAAATTACTATTTTTAAATAGTTTGCATAGATTCCTTTTATTTAAAATATAAGCCTTTTTTTAACTGGAAATGTAAATACCAAGGGGTGTGTGTGTGTGGCCTGGTTCTTCAACTTTTTGGGTTCAGGGACCCCCTCATATTCCTCATGTTTATTAAATAATTGTCTTCAATTTGTCTCTTTAATGCAGTGGAAATATGCGTGTAACATAAATACCTAATACCTGTTCTTTAAGCGTTAATACAATTATTATACTTTTAAACATGGGGTATTTTACATTTAAGACGTACTTAAGAAAATGTTTAATCTTAACTTCCAAAAATTAGTTTTGGAAAATTAACAGCATCAAAAAACACTTTAAAACTTCACGTAATGAAGTGTTGTTGTTCGACAGAATGTTTTTATGTTATTAGTGTATTTTTAGTTTGTTTTTCTTAGTTCATATCTTAGATGTTTTCATCGTTTTTCTTTTACATTTTATTGTTGGATGTAACTGGGACCCTGTGTACATAATTTCGCTCCACCACATGTACCACATGAGGTGCGAATGACAATAAAGAAACTCTGACTCTGATAAATTTATTGCCACTTCTTCAAATTATCACAGAAAACTCTTTACTTAAAACTGAATCACAACAGGAGGAGTTATACCAAGTAACACGGCTTCATTTGTGAACGATCAATGCTGGAAAGTAAATTTGGGGGTGGGGTTTATAAAACCTTAAAATAAATATAGTTTCTACTTTGTGTTTTTTCACCTAACGCGGTGGTGTCTGGAACGTGACCCCCGTGATAACCCGGGGTCTACTGCAACTTAATTCCCAAACTCAATTCTAACAGAAAAAAGTCCTCAAGATGATCAGAAGGCTTTAACGGTTTAATGTCGAAACATTTATCAGCTCACGTCGGTCATTAGCAGAACCAGAGCGGAGATCTTCAGTGAACTTTGATTTACACAACTGTGCAAGTCTCGATTCATTCCCGTCATCTTTCGTCTCTTTCTTCCAAGCACAGACGCACATGAAGTCTTCGTGTGGCGGAGTCAGACCAACAGTTCTCCAGGCTCGTACTGAACAACGTTTTACCTCCAACCTTATTTACACACTTCTGCGCTCAGGGGGGACACCAAAGTTGTGTCGACACAGATCAGTTTAAAATTTAATCCTTAGTCCTAATCAGCCGGTGACAATCTGTTTCCATTTCTTTTGTTAATCCATGAAAAACAAAAAAAAATAACAAAATATTGTCATGAAATAGGATTTTAGCTCCAACAAGCCAAAGAGTTGTTAACAAAAACATCTTTTTGAGCTTCATGCTTTAATAAATTAGAATTAAGTGCAGCGTTTCTGTGTCAGTCAGGGAAAGTTAAGAATTTTTAAAGACGATTCAAATTAAAAGACCAGCACATAAAAATACGGTCATTGCAAAATAACAAAAAAATAAATAAAACAATTCTAAACAAATCGGTTTCAGGAGCAGGGCGGACAAACGCGTGTCTCAAAGTTATTTCAGCATCTTCAGACAGAACTACAGAGGGAATGATCTCTCATAGAACAAAAACTAGTTTTTGAAAAAAGCAATGAACAGTTGCAAGAAAAAACTACTGTACTTTCATTTTGTGACCTAAAATTAAAATAATCTGGACTTATTTGTGTTTATAAGGATTACAATCGACTTATGAATTCTTAAGACCCTGCAGAAACTATAAGCCAAAAAATAAATAGAATAAAAATCAGAAAGGGAGAAGTGTTGCCCACGTTGAGAGAGTACAGAAAGTCTGGCTGCTTGCAAGAAAAACATGAAGAAATGAAGACTGGGTCAGAACTTTTGCACAGAAACATGTACGCAGATCAAAATAATGCTCATTGTATCCACGCGGTTATGGTTTTGTGAAACGACGGACGGGTCAGAACCTGAAACTGCTTCCAACAAAAACTTTGTTCTTCTCGCCGTCTGGCTGAGCTGACAGAAAAAGACGCATCGGCTCCAGAGTTCAGCAGCTGTTGTTTGGAAGATGCACAGGCAGGAAACGACGCGGGTCCAAAACACCGTTTCCACTACGACCAGTATCTTTCCCAGTGAAAGTTCTGTCCCAAACTAATCAGAGCGTCTTCATCTGAGGCGTGGCGTAGTTTTGATTTTCACCGTTTGTCCCTACAGCCGGTTCTGAGCTTCCCACTTCCTGCAGGACGTCGGCGACATGCAGCTTCTTGCTCCTGCCTGCAGGCGCTCCCTCCCTCTTCCTCTTGCACACCAGACCGGAGTCTGCCTCACCGATGCGACCCTCTGGGATTCCTAAAACTCGCAGGCAGACAATGGCAGACGCTTGCTCTGCAAACTTTTTGGACTTCTCCCTGTTAGAAACGAGACAAAATAAATTAAATAATTATCAAGTCCGTGTCGAAGCATGACTAGAAGTATGACTAGACCTGCCGCGATAAACAAGAAATCAATTAATCGCACGATAAATTAAAATTATCGACCTCATTTTCATTTATCGGCTTTATCGTTTCTTCGTGTCTCTTTCTGAAGACACTGGAGGACAAAAGCTCAACTCCGGTGCTCTTCATGGACTCCTCCCTTTCTCTTTTCTCGTTAAAATCTGTTTCAATCGTCCAAAATTGCATTTATGGACGGCTAAAAGCAGCTAAGCCGAGACGCTAAGCTACGAGCTAAGCTAACAGGCTGACCTCGGGAAAAAACCTCCGTCTTGTCGAAGCTCCAAAATTCACGGTTGAAACTCGTGCCTTCGTGTAAAAAGTTGTTTTTCTCTGCAAAAAGCAGCTGAGAACTTGTTTACCAATTTTTTAAATTAAAAGCTTTGTGTGAAAAATGCTAAAGAGCTCAAACCACACTGAGCGTCCACCATTTTGAAAACCGAAGAGAGACAGCCCATGTCACGTCAAGGGGCCTCCCTCTCATTTTTCTTAGAGACGCTGCTCGCTCCCTCACTATTCATCCTTCATTTCAGATGATCTTATACTGACATCTGGTGGTCAAAAAAAGGTACTACACTCAAAACAAATTAAACATTTCTTCATAAATTTGACAATAATTACTAATAATTACTAATTATTGTCAAATTCCAAACAATTTTATTGTTTATCGCAATAATTTCGGAGACAATTAGCAAAATTTGTTATCGTGGCAGGCCTAAGTACGACCAAAAGTTTTTAATGCCCACGTTAATTTATATAGCACATATAAACAACAGAAGATGACCGAAGTGGTCTACAACTTGGTCAAATGAAAATATAAAACTGTAAATCAAGGAGACAAGAAGTCTGACATCATTTAAGGAAACAAATTTAAATAAAATACTGGAACACACCAGAAAACATCAAACTCTGAAACAAGCGCCGGGGACAAAAGATGGGTCCCGTGAGCAGATTTAAAAGCCTTGATGATTCTTGAAGATGCTCGACGTGGATTGTGATTCAGTTTGTTAGAACATCCATTGAGTCTAGTCAAAGTGACTGCTGGACACTGGCAGCAGCAACCAGGAAATGAAGGTGGGAAGAGATGAAGCATGGATGATGGACTGATCTAGTCATGAACATCAGTGCCATGGTTCCAGGAGAAAACTTGTGTGTACTAACCACAGAG